AATCATGAAATGTGTAGCATGAAAATTACATGAAATGCAGCATGTACATGTAAATTTTTAACTGACCATTCTATAATAAACTTTAAACTTTAATAACTTACTCGTTGAGAATACACTAAATGTCAATTTATTCTAATCAAAAAACAAATTCATAAAGCAATAGAACATAAAGCATAACTTATAAACTCCTACTAAACATGAGGTTCCTTAAAATCAATGACTCCCAAGTGAGCCGTGTGCTAATAAAAAACTTCTGGTGGGAGACCCTTGGTTAGAGTGGCGGATCCAGAAACCTATGATTAAGGGGATCGGTCCTTAAAAATTTTATATTGCAAGGGCCAAAGTTTAAAATATCAACATATTTTCTATAGATTAAAAGTATTCATACATAATATATACTTAAGAACTTTTTTCTTGCGGGGGCTGAGGCCCCCTCTAGCCCCTCCCCTGTGTCTACCCCTGCTTGGTTAAAGGATCCACTAGCATGAAGTTTGTACTTATATGTTCAATAGCGACTCTTCTATTCTGAGCCCTTTCTTTAATAGCTCTATATTTCACTTCGATGTGTTTTGTCTTACTCGAGCTCTTGTTGTTGTTAGCGTAAAACACCGTAGAATTATTGTCGCAAAATATCTTGATAGACTTTGAAACTTCATTTAATATTTTCAGGCCATCAATAAAATTGTGCATCCATATTCCATGGTTTGAAGCTTCAAAACAGACCAACAACTCTGCTTCCATAGTTGAGGTAGCTATCATATCTTGTTTAACGTTTTTCCAAGATACAGCACCACACGCTAGTATAAAAACATAACCTGAAGTAGATCTACTAGGTCAGAGTATCCAATGACCTCCAAATGGTCTGATTTTCTGTATGTGAGCATATAGTCTCTTGTTCTCTTTAAGTATCCCATAACTCTTTTTGCTGTTACCTAATGAGCCATTCCTGGATTACTGAGATATCTGCCTAGCACCCCAACAATGTACGCCATATCCGCACACGTACAAACTTGGGCATACATAAGACTTCCTACAACAGATGCGTAGAGAATCTTTTTCATTTCTTGAATTTCCAGATTTGTTTTAGGGCACTGATCGAGACTAAACTTGTCTCCTTTAGAGATAGGGGTATCACCCGGTCTACAATCTTCCATGCCAAATCTTTTAAGGACCTTATCGACATAGTTCCTTTGTGATAACCTTAAGATTCCTTGTGATCTCTCACGAAGGATTTCAATTCCTAATACAGAGAAGGCTTCACCAAGATCTTTTGTTTCAAAATGTTTTGATAGAAATCTCTTGGTTTCATGCAACATGCCTATGTCATTGGTGGCAAGAAGAATGTCATGAACATATAAGACCAGGAAACCGATTTTACTCCTAGTACTGAACTTATGATATACACAATCATCTGCATCATTCATCTTAAAACCAAAGGATAAAATGACTTGATGAAATTTTTGATAGCATTGACGAGAAGCCTGTTTTAGCCCATAGATGGATTTTGTTAATTTGCAAACCGTTTGCTTTGGATCTCCTATCACAAAATTTCTGGTTGCACCATATATATAGTTTCATCAATGTCACCATTGAGAAACATTGTCTTAACATCCATCTAATGAAGCTCTAGATTAAAATGTGCAACTAAAGACATAATGGTTCTAAAAGAGTCATTTAATGAAATCGGAGAAAAGGTCTCTTTATAATCAATTCCTTCCTTTTGAGTATAACCTTTAGCTACAAGATGGGCTTTATATCTCTCCACATTACCCCTGGAATCCCTTTTGGTTTTAAATATTCATTTATAACCAATGGGTTTAGAACCTTCAGGTAATGAGACGAGTTCCCAAACTTTATTGTCTTGCATAGATTTGTACTCCTCATTCATTGCCACAATCCACTTTTATGAAATTGAACTTTTCATGGCTTGACGGAAGTTGATTGGATCATCTTCCATAACACCATTTTCTTCCTTATGTTGTTAAATAAACACAAGGACATCGTTCACTCTATCCATGCTTGACACATGTTCTTGGAAATATACAACATAATCATTTGGAATTGCGTATCTCCTTTCTCTAGTGGATCACCGCAATGGCACATTTTCTTGTTGCACTTGTTCTAGAGGAAGTTGAGTTTGTTCATTTTGAACAATTTGTTCAGTTTGGATAGGAGATGAAATAATGTCTTGTTGATGTTCTTCATTAGTTTCGAAAGAAACATCCATTTGAATTGGTTCAGGTATTGAAATCAATTCTTCCTCAAAGACAATATCCCTAACTTTACTCTTCCCTTCAAACTCAACATCCTCAAAGAATACGGCAGTTCCCGTTTCAAAAATATTTTTATCCTCAGGGTTATAAAATTTATATCCCCTAGATCGTTCCGAGTAACCAATAAAGTAACTACTAACCAGAGGCGGACCCCAATAAGGGTCCCACAGAGTCCCGGGACCCCGTGTACCTAAAAAAAATACCTATATATATATATATTATATGACATTATGTATATTTACACAAAAAACTACCTTAGAACCAAAAGAGCGGAGCCGGGGGGAACGGGAGCACGCACATGAGTGAAAGTTTCTACGTTGCGGGAGGTATCCGGTTCGAATCCCTTCGGTTCTTTTTTTGTTTTCCAAAACTATTTTAATTAAACAGACCAAAACTACGTCATTTTGACCTATTTTTTTTAATTGGATATGCTTAATTGCTCAGCGGCTCGGCCCAAAACTGAAGAGGCGAAACCTAAAATTGAAGGCGAAAGGTTGAAGGCAAACCATGCTCTGAAGGGGCGAACTAAGAGCTACGATTCCTACGAAGGGCTACGCAGCTACGCTAGAAGCACTGAAGCAGACAAGACAAGCAGTGACCTCTGTGAGGGTAACCCTGGTTCCTTTTTACTCCGCATTAGTTTTAATAGTTTTGTAGAATTGTAGTTTTATTCTCTTAAATTTTTAGTGCTTTACTGTTTTTGAGTGAAGATATACTCCTATGCAACAATTTGTCAATTTGTGTTGTTTATTTATGTACTAGTGCTTACATAAAAATTCATGTATTTATAAATGTTATTTTCAATTTTATACGATTTAGGATGAAAAGATATTTTGATGTTGTACCCAAATTTAAAGAAACTCAGAGTACCGGGAGTAGTTCAGGTGTTAATTCAAATGATTCGTCATTAGTAAATGAAGAATTGGATCAAGTAATTGCAGAAAGGAGGGTACATCTGTAGAATTGTTGAATGATTTTTATATGTAATTTTTTGCTTTATAATATCTTAATGTTTTGATGGTGTACGTTAACATTGAAGTGTTATGCTTCTTTAATATTTTTCTTATTAGTTTTATATTAATTGGAGATTAGAGATATAAAAGGATAGGGACCCCGTGGCTCCGACTTTATGGGTCCGCCACTGCTACTAAATGTTTTGGGTTCCAGTTTCTTTTCATGTGGCCTATATGGCTTTGCTCTAGCTGGACAACCCCAAATATGAAAATGCTTTAAACTAGACTTTTTACCCGTCCAAAGCTCATAAGGTGTTTTAGTAGTTGCTTTAATTGGCACTCGATTAAGAATGTAAGCTGCGGTCTTTACTGCCTCACCCCGGAGGGATTCCGGTAAGATAGAATGAGAAATCATACTTCTTACAATTTTTTTAAGGGTTCTATCACGTCTCTCAGCTACACCATTCATGCTAGGTGAACCAGACATGGTGTATTGAGGGACAATCCCATATTCCTCTAGAAATTTGGTAAAAGACCCTGGACTAGGGATGGGCGTGGTTGGTTAACCGTGTTTTGGTTAACCAACTTTCCGGTTAACCGAGAAACCTATTACTTCGGTTAACTGATACTCGGTTAACCAAAGCTTCGGTTAACCGAGTATCGGTTAACCAAAACTTCGGTTAACCACAAACCGGTTAACCAAAAACCATCAAACCATTGATTAAATATATACACACACCATGTTCTTTCTATATTAATTAAGTCTAAACAAGAGAAAAATGAATTTTGAGAGTGGAATACAGGAAAAGATAAAATACACTTAATAAGAATAAACGTGTTCAATTGCTTCAAAAAAAGAATACACATGTTCAAGTCTCACGATTGCAGAATGGGCTAATTAATTATAACTCACAAAAGCTTTGACTAATTATTAATAATATGAAATTAAAATTTCTATAGTGAATTTGGTTTCTTCACATGTTTATTAGAATTGATGTATCTAGATTTTTTGGATACATATTTATCTTTCCAAGTTCTCTGAGAACGTGAAGTTCATGACCAGACATGAACATACCGGTTATTGGTTAACCGATAATAACATATTTCTAAAACCGTAACCGTACCGCGAACCGTTTATTCTCACGGTTGGTTAACCGTACCGTGGATTTAAAAAATTGCGGTTCGGTTAACCGGGAAAAACGGCGGTTTTCCGGTTTTTAGGCGCGGTTATACGGTTACGGATTTTTATGCCCACCCCTACCCTGGACGTTGTTCACCTGAGCCGTCATAACTTCCATAGCATTCACCACCATTGTCGGATTTGACTTTCTTTATGCGTTTGTTGAGTTGATTCTCAACTTCCGCTTTGTAAGATTTAAACACGTCCAAGACTTGAGACTTTTTCATGTATAAGAAATAAGTATGTATATCTAGAGTAATCGTCTATGAATGATACAAAATATTGTTGACCATTCCATGAAGGAGTAGGAAATGGTCCACAAATATTAATGTGTATTAATTCTAAGACATCTGTAGCTCTATTATAATTAAGTGGTTGGATTGATTGATTCAACTAATTTATGGAGAAAAAATATTTATAATATATTTTATCAATAAAATAAAAAAAAATATATATAAAAAATAGTTAAAGTGATCATCAATAATAATCAATTAATATAATTGAAAATCAAAATTTTTGTATTCGATGAAAATATTGGTCTATACATTTATAAGTCAAAAAAACCTGATCAAAAGGCTTTAACTTAAGTGAAAACATCCTGCGTAGTGCGTACCAAACCGGACATAGGAACGTCATCGTCTTCCAAATGTCCACATGCGACCTCTAATGGTCCGCGCAGAAGGTACAAACTGCTGATATAGCGATCTCTCTCTACCACTCTTCTCCAACTGAAAAAATTCCGCATTCTTCAAATCCCTGTCTCATTAGCTCTTCATTGAAGGATTCTTTCGCACATCTTAAACAGGTGTGCACGATCATTCTCTTCTCTTTTCATTTTTCTCAAACTTGCGTGCTTGAATTGAATTCTTGATGGTTATTCTTGAGCTCTTTTGAATGGGGGAATGAATCTGATAAATTTAATGGAAACGTTGTTGGTTCGTTTTATTTTTCCTTTTTTGTTTTGATTTTTGGTTATGGTTATTCATTGGTTTAATGGGGAATAGATGGTATGGATGACAGCTGATAATTAACATTTTTTATCATTGTTTTCAAGGAGAACTTATAATAATACCCAAACGCCAAATTTATTCAATTGAACGTTATGATCAAATTAATTGACAGAAATGTAGATTGCAGAAGATAAGGTCAAAAGGATGTGAAGAGCAGAAAAGGAGTTACGAGTAGCCTGATCTCCAATTGTAACTTACCAGATCCATGCGTTATTACTTCTACTAATAAATAATCTCTCATAATTTTACCATTACAAAGTATTGTTCATGTCAAAAGACTGGATCTTTATCGCATTGGATCAAAGTATTTCTTCTTCTCTCAATAACTAATACTCCCTCTATCTCACTAAGGCACTAAATTTTGACAAGTTTCTTTATTTGACCATTTAAAAAGCTTTGTTGCTTTCCCTTACGAGTAACAAGCACGTGGTCGTTATCATTATATATATCTCCTCTCCACAAACTTCAACGGCACAATTTTTACTTTTTTATTCTAAACATATTTATAATTATTTTTGTTCAAAATTGAATAGAACATCAAGAACATCAATATATTATCAGTTTATCAATGGTATTTTATACGTAGTACTTAATTTCATTAATGATTTTAGTATATCACTACTAACACTGATTTTCTATATTTCAGTATACCTTGTTTCGGCATATTGAAATTTCGGTGCGGTAAAGGTACAATATCGGTAAATTATCACGGTTTTGTTGGTATAATAGGAAAGGTAAGATTGCTGGTTCGTGATGGCTACTTTGGGAAATCCAGCAAACATATTCTGGCATCAGTGTGCAGTTGGGAAGACAGAAAGGGAGAAATTACTCAATCAACAGGGATGCATTGTATGGATCACAGGCCTTAGTGGTTCAGGTTGACACGATTTTTTCCATTCATTGTCCGTTTATACTTCTCCCTTTCCTTCTATTTGTTGAATTTTTTTCTAATGTTACTTTCCTTTGGTTTCAAAATGCATTTATGTCCCACAAAAGGTCCTATTTCAAAAATATGCTGCTAAGTGATTTTTATTGAATTTGAAATGTGATACAAACAATACAAGTATTTAGTTGAACAAGCAATGAAATTTAATAATATAAATAGGATTGCTTTCAGTTTGTCATAATGTTTTTTTTGCACCTCTAAAAATGATCTCCACTGTTCCATTACCAAAACGGTTTCTACAACTTAGAAGAGTTAAAGAGATGACTAATCATCAACAAGATCATCCCCACAAATAAATAAGAACATCCCTCCATCCCTCTAAGATAAGTTCATCGAACGAGCGAAGGTTGGAATGAAGTTAACATTACTCATGCAACACTCCCAGTTTGTCATAATGTATTATTGAATCTTTCTGGCATGTCTATTACAAATTTAGCTTATTTCCACATGTTTGGTTATCCTAATCCTGCAGGAAAAAGCACACTTGCATGCTCTCTTGGCAGAGAATTACACTCAAGGGGCAAGCTTTCTTACGTTTTGGATGGTGACAATCTTAGACATGGTCTCAATAAGAATCTTGGTTTCTCGCCAGAAGACAGAACTGAAAATATCCGCAGGGTTGGTAAGTATATGCTTGACATTACTTCTGCTTCTTTTTTGGTTTTGCAGGGAAGGTAGGGAGGATACCGACATTCCACCATATTGGTTTTGTTGCTATATGTGCTCCTTTGAAATCTTAAATACAATTCTCATGGTTTTACTGTCTTAATTTCATGCCCAAACACAAGTATGAAGGGAAGGTTAAGGCATCGTTTGGTAACTATCTTTTATAACATTTTCTGCGTTCTACATTATTTGTTTTAAAATTTGGTGCACAAATTGTGTTATGCTGTAGTTTCTTTATAGAGTTTAGAAAACTATATTCTTGGATACATGAATTCTTGTTTTTAGTGTGATTACTATTTCAGTGTTGTGTACAGAACATTCACTTTTTATAAAAGTTATGTATTCTCATTGTAAATAATATACATAACAATATAACATATACTACCTCCGTCCCCCTAAGATTGGGGCAAAGGAGAGCGATGCGATTTTTTAGAAAAATAGAGTTATGTGGTCGATAATGAATTGATAAAGTGAACATAAAGTAAGAATGAATTAGAGTCACTCAAATACTATCAAATATGGTATGGGACAAATTTAGTGAGACAGACGAAAAGAAAAAATGGAACAATTATAGTGGGACGGAGGGAGTAGTTAGTATAAAACAGATCTGCACAAAATGTTTAACTACTTCCGTTCCACTAACATTGGGACATGGGGATGTGGTGTGGGTATTAAGAAAAGTAAGTTTATGTGGTTAATATTGAATTGATAAAGAAATAATAATGTAAGAATGATTTAGAACCACACAAAATGTAGCAAATTTGGTATGAAACAATCTTAGTGGGACACACCGAAAAGGAAAGATGGGACAATCTTAGCGCCAATCATAATGTGAGTATTAAATTTTAGAAATTTGAAAACAAAATATTGAAACTTAGAGCCAAAATTTTGGGGAACCATAAATGTAAAAAAAACAAGAAATGGTGTGAAACGAACAATTGTTGTTAGAGGGTGTTTGGTGTGATGGAATCCAGTATTGTGGTTGTGTAGAAAGTAAATAACATATCTGATATGGAAAGAAGAAGCCCATTATTTATTACTTTCATTATTATTATTAGTTTCCTAAAGTATTAGGTGTTAGTTTCCCAAGGTTATTATTAGTTGCAGTTTCCTATCAGTAGAGATATTTTATTTTAGTTATTTTCTAATAAAAGTATTGTAGTAGAATTAGGGTTACTCTAACACTAGACCACCAAGACTCTTGGGACTAGTATAAATAGAGGTGCCATATTAAATGAATAAAATCATCAATCTTCTGGAGAATAATTCTTGTGCGCTCGCTGGAACCAACGGACACTTCCTTGCCTAGGGCGGTAAGATGGGTTGTTTTTCCAACTATCATACTTATCTTTCTTCTTTTTTATCTCCCAATATTTGGGAGATAAAAAAGTCGCTTTAACTTTTACTCTTTTCCATGGCAGTAAATGGGTCGTGTGAATCCAAAACTTCAAATGTCTTTCATGTTAATTAAATAAAATTTTTTACTCCCTCTGCCCCCTAACTTTGTCCAGCTTTCCTTTTCCGTCCGTCCCATTAAGTTTTTCCTATACCACATTTGGTAATATTTTAGTGATTACAATTCTTTCTTACTTTATTCTCACTTCATCAATTCAATATCAACCACACAATTTCACATTTCTTAAAAATCGCATCACACCCTTTTGTCCCAATCTTAGGGGGACGGAGGTAGTATTAATTAAGCTGGCGATGCTTGACAGTTTCTAAATCAACAAGATTTATTTTAAAACAACACAGGGGAAGTGGCGAAGCTATTCGCGGACGCTGGTTTGATTTGCATTGCCAGTTTAATATCTCCTTACAGAAAGGATCGTGATGCTTGCCGCACCATGTTGCCAAATTCATTTATTGAGGTACACAACTTAGTCAAGTTTTTGAAGAACCACATAACACGATGAATAAAAAAACCTTCCACGGAAGAAAACATATTTGGGGGTGTTTGGAACCAATTCTGTTTCTGCTTCTTTTTTAAAGCAGAATCAAAATCAAAATCAGTTTTAAGAATCAGATCCAAACATGAAACACCCCCTTTGTCTCCTTTCCCTCTTCACTTCAGTTTTTCTTTAACAGGTTTTTATGAATATGCCACTAGAAGTATGTGAAAGAAGAGACCCAAAGGGCCTCTACAAGCTTGCTCGAGCTGGAAAAATCAAAGGTTCGTTTGTTTACTGACAATGGGGCATTAATATATTTTAATTTTGTTGGTTTCATCCTGCTTGTCATTTGTATATTATATTCTTTAGTTTAACTTTTTAGACAATTTAAACTATTTAGCCTGTTAAGTAACTTTGGCCATTGCAGCGAAACTTTACCTTTACCAAAATGGTTTTAATTTGGATGGAGAAACGTGTCAAAATTGTACCTTAACTTGTCTCCCATAGCATAAAGAGTACATAACTTTGTATCAGAATATCAAATACCTCAAAGTAAATCAATTTGATTTTTTAGTGTCAGTTGAGTATGTCTGTTATACAGAAGTTAGAAAATTATGATTTGGCTAAACCTATTGTTGACATGGTTAAAAAAAAGTCCAAGGTAAAAGGCAACACAGAAGAAGAGAAAAGGCAAAAGAAGAAAGAAATGGAAATGTAGTAAAGTCCTAAAAGGTAATTAGGGTTCATAGAAGTGAATATTTGCTGACTGGGATACTAAGGGTATAAAATAAATGGTTAATCCCTTTCATCTCAGCTTTTTTAAATGTGAGAGTTAAAGCTGTACTCGATTAACACCAAAAAATAAAGTTTAGGTACTTTGTTGTATCAATTTGATAGGGATCGAACTATTAGACTAATAAATAGAAGAGTAAGTCATTCTGGGAAGATCAGAGTTGTATCTCTATCTTTTGGGGGCTTCGGCCATTGTTGCCTTTTCAATAAAGTTGTGCAGATTGCTCTTGTGAGATTTCTGTGAATTAGTTGTTGAATTTGCAAGTTCTAACATTGGCATCAGAGACTTCGATCACTGTGGATGGTACAGACGCGCGCAAAGATGTAAGCTAGGGTGGATAACTTGGAGAGAAATCTACAGCAAAACACGGAGATGTTAACTGCGATTCTGGCGAAAATGGATGCGAGAGATCAACATCGTTCGCGAAGTAGGTCGCATGCATCCTCCGCTTCGCATCGCTCTTCTCATCCCTCTTCACATCGCACTTCGCACCATGGACACGCAAGAAATTCCAAGGGTTCAGAAGGTAATTCTGATTATTTTCCTTTGCATCAAGAACATCGATCTGGAGACCGATCGAGGAACATTAGGCATCCTCCGCAATCTGACAAACAAAGTCCGTCGCAGTTGCTCAGTAATCGAAAGACTGAGTCGCGAACTGTCTCCCCTAGTTCGCAGTCGTGAACAGTTACTTTTAGTTCACAATCGCGAACGATGTTTCTCAGTTCACAGACATCGTCGCATCAAGAGGATCGATCGGAATCATCGCAGTCACCAACTTCCTCCCTCTGTTCGCAATCGCGAACAGTTTCTCACCATTCGCGGAACTCTTCAACGCAGCCAAAATCTCGAACTGTTTCTTTCAGTTCGCAAATGCTAACGCCAGCTATTTCTCAACCTGCGAAAGATTTCCCAGTCGACAAAGAATACCAGGTTGAAGTCCGCTGAATCTGTTATCAAGAAACCGACGGCAGAAAAAACGAGGAGCTATCTACAGTAGCAGAAGGAGTTGAAGCTGGCACAGTTGCTGGATTCCTAAGCTGTTCACAGGTTTCATTTATGTCAAGAGAGGGATGACAGGGCACTCCATCGCTGACAAAGAACACTAAGTTGAAGCTAGCCGCAAATTCAGAACTAGAGCAGGATGCGAGTTTTGGTATTATGCATACTATGGGATATCAACAAGAAGATATAAAAGGTATGGAAAATATGGATTCAGATTCTAACTCATCTCCAAAAGATGTTTTTATTGAAGAAGTAATCCTTTGATAGGGACCTACTTATTAGAATAATATTAGAAGTAATAATAATAATAATATTAGTAATAAGGGTCTCTAGTATAAATAGATGGGAAGGGGAAGTAGTAAGGGGGAGTAGGCTTTTAGACGATTAGTCTTGACTCTTGGGACTGGGAAAGATCGGAGACTAAACATCTCTATCTTTTGGGGCTTCGGCTTTGGGGGCTTTGGCCTTTGTACAGATTACTGTTCATCTTCTTCAATAAAGATTACCTTGTTCATTGATATTAATTTCTGTAATTTCTGGATATTTGGAGTTCCTATCATTGGTATCAGAGCAGTACTTCCCGGAGACCGAGAATCTGAATCATGGAGGAGGATTTCTACATGACACCCCAAATGGAAAAAAGTTTTGATAATATTGACCGACTGATGAGGGAGACAAATGATAGGTTATCGACGATGATGGTCACTATGCAGGCTGGCTTCGCGGACATGATAAACAAACTTCAAAGTCTGCCGCGAAACCGATCGCATGCGTCACAATCATCACATCGCGACTCTCATCATCACACGCGAAAGTCAGCGAGTCCAGAAGAGTCCGAAGAGCGAAGGCACCGCAGAAAATCTGGCGATCGAACGAGGAACAGTAGGCGTCATCCGCTATCGCAGGCAGAGTCGCGATCTGTTTCTTCTCAGAGTCCGCAGTCGCGAACTTCGCATCGCTCTTCTTATAGCCCTTCGCATCATCATTCGCAGAATTCTTCACAGGCTATCAGTTCGCGTCCAAGAAAGACGCGAGTGAGAGAAGAATATTCATCTTCGTCGCTGAGCTATTCTATTATTTCACATGCCTCTTCACTTGCGGACTCTCACCGCTCGTCAGCACATAGATCAACATCGCTTGTGGTTCCACACCGTTCGCAAGGGTCATCAGCTTCAAGAACTTTTGACATAGGCGCATCAGAAAAAGAATTCCAGGGGACCCCACCAACAAGAATGAACACAAAATTAAACCTGGTGGTCCCTTCAGTTACGGAATCAGACTCTGAGGAGGAGGTTGGGCTTGTTTCGGGAGAATCTGCTATCATGTTTGGAAATCCCAAACAGATTCATGATGCTGACGAGTCTAGTTTCGTTCCGGAGATGAACTGGCTGAATCTTTTAAAATCTGAAATGATATACTGTCATCCATTAAATAATTTTTTGGAAGGGCTGAAATCATTGAACAAGTTTGATAGTTTCAGATATGAGGGTATTACTTCTATGATGGGTAATAAAAAGGGGTTGGAAGGAGAGATTTCTGGGAATGTTACAGAATGTGAGGGATATGTGACTGGTATGGAAATTGTTAGTGAAGTGGTTAGGGGACTGCCAGTAGATTGTATACCGGTTCAAGATAGAAGTGTAGGTTTTGATTACAAGTTTCTTATGGCAAGTATTGATACAAGACACAAAATTCTCATGAAAAGAGGTATGAACTGGAAAGAGGACAATGTGTTGAGCACCATGGTTTTTTTGAAAAGGATGGGGAAGTACGTTGTTGATATTTTTGAATATCAGTTGGATCAAATCAGTATGGCCCGGGATCCTACTAATCAGGCTACTGTTAATAGATGGGAGGCTGTAGCAAATGGACAGGTGAAACTGAAACAAGGCTGGAAAAGTGAATAGTTTTCTTCTGATGAAGAATCTGTCTATCTGCAAGAAAACCTACTTTGGAAGTTTTGCATGGATAATAGGCTTTCCTGTTCTTCAGTTAGGAGAAATGCAACTGGAATAGTGGATATCCTCACCTACCTGCTAAAACCTTTGAGGTTTTCCTTCTCAAATAAGTTGGCTACTGAAGATGCTGAAATTTCAAGGAGTGAAGCAACTGAAACTCAAAGATTTGAGTTATATCCTGTAGCAAGAGCTATTAGCACATGGAAGAATGAAATGAGCAAGGGATGGTGGGTGAAGATCAATACCAGCATGATCAAAGACACAGGCCTAATATTGATGATTGGAAGAAAGAGGAGCTAATGCTGTTTTTGCAAGAAGCAGTGAGAAGGAAGAGTCAAGTCATGAAGTTAAGGATCCTGACATTTGAAAGATAATGGGAGGGAAGAGGTGCAAGGAAGAAGCAGCAGAAGATCTGGGCTGTCTCCTACCGACCACCTTGAGGGCAAGGTGGATGTTTAGGGGGGGAGTATTGATAGGGACCTACTTATTAGAATAATATTAGAAGTAATAATAATAATATTAGTAATAAGGGTCTCTAGTATAAATAGATGGGAAGGGGAAGTAGTAAGGGGGAGTAGGCTTTTAGACGATTAGTCTTGACTCTTGGGACTGGGAAAGATCGGAGACTAAACATCTCTATCTTTTGGGGCTTCGGCTTTGGGGGCTTTGGCCTTTGTACAGATTACTGTTCATCTTCTTCAATCAAGATTACCTTGTTCATTGATATTAATTTCTGTAATTTCTGGATATTTGGAGTTCCTATCATCCTTACTCCTGGACTAGAAAACATGACATACCAAGAAAAGAAGATAGATGACAGTGGAAGGTATAGTCTTGAGGTTCCACGTGGTGAGAACAGTTTATATGCAATTGCAGCAAGCTCTGAGAATTTTCCAAATCTTTTATTTTTCCCTATTCAGGTTGATATTGCAATTAGAAAGTACATTCTAGGGACTGCCATTAATCTGGTGCAAGAAAATATCAATGGGACTGTTGTATGCAAAGAGAAGTGTGGTTCATCCGTCTATGTTGCTCGCATACATTGGAATGGAAAAGATCCAAGTACCCTTGATTCACCTACCAACTTGTGGGTTGGCCTCTTGACAGGAGAGCTCAGAATTACAGATTCCTTAAATGAGAAAACAGTGGGAAAATTTGTGGAACAATATATTGAAGCCAAGGGAAAGGTGAAAGTGAAACCGGGTTTGAAAATGGCGATATTTTTTTCTGATGATGGATTTGCTTACCTGCAAGTAGACCAACTTTGGAAGTTTTATATGGGAGATAGTCCTTCCTGTTCCTTAGTTAGGAGAACTGCAGCTGGAATATTGTATCTCCTTTCTTACTGATAGAGCCAGATAATTCTGACTTAGAATTGTAGAGAATCACTAAGAAATTGATCAAGAAGAGATGAAGAAAATGTTTATTGATGAACGATGTGTTTACGGAATGAATACAACGGACAATTCGAGATGCCCGGTCTCCTAGCCTATCCAAGTCCCAAATACTTGCCTGCCTATTTGCCTACCCTCCCCTTTCTATTTATAGTACAAGCCCACTTATTATTATCTACAATAATAGGCCCACTTATTATTAATTCTAATAATAGGCCCATTTAATATCTATTCCTAACAATACTCCCCCCCTAAACAACCACCTTGTCCTCAAGGTGGGTGATAGGAAACAGCCATGATCTTCCATTTCCACTTCATTCTTGCACCTCTTCCCTCCCAGTATTTGACTGATTGCTGGACTAGAAACTTCATTACCAAATCTTTTGATATCACAAACATTTCAGCAGCAGAAGAGATATCTAATGAAGTTCCATACGCTTCAGCAATTATTCCAATATTGACAATCTTCAGCAAGTTCTGCCAATGAGCTCCATTCGGGGCATCCTTTGCATAAAGTATATACAGGTTGACTGCATTCTTTTGCTCTTGTCTATGAGCTTTTTCTTCAGCCTCTTTTGAGTTATGGAATGGTTGAATAGAAAAGTGCCCATCAACACGAACATAGCTTATTCTTTTCTCAGAAACAAACTGCTGCACTCCATCAAGAATCTTAGGATAGACTATGATTTCTACTCCTTCTTCACAGCTCCCTAGTGCAGTCTCACCATCATCTAACTGCTTTTCAGATTTCAGGTTACTGAGATATATTTCCCATTCATCATCTCTTGTACTCAGAAGTAATATCATATAATGGCTATTCACCTCCATGAACTGTTGAATCTGTCTCTTCTTTTCATCCCGTTTGACATTGCCCTCAATGTCAAGTCCCAATTTCGTACTTCCTCTCCTATCCATGCCAGAACCATTTAGAGTAGGGACTTCATCAATAAGAATTTTGATATTTCCTGAATTCATAATCTCCTTACTTAATGTAGTCATATGAGCTTCCAATGCACCAGAAACATGCAAGAATTTAGTCTTAACAGTGAGATGCCCATCTAACTTCCTCTTTGGTGCAACATGATAGCTTGAATTTGATTCAGAGTTCTGATCTAATCCACAATCAGACTCGGAAGTAAAACCTTGCAAGCCATTGTAGGACCGAACAAGACAACCATGTTTTTCAATCTTAGGTATCCATCTTTGTTTGATTAGTTCCTCAGTAGCATTAGTGTATGCGCTGATGATTCCCTGAAGCTTCTTTCCAACATTTCCCTGTTCTATTTTCTCAGTTTCCTCGATGTGGACAGTCCCTGTAGAGCTTTCCCAAGTGTTTGAACCAGCAAATTTATCAACTACCGATTCATAGTCTACGGAGATAGAGGATTGAGTCACCACCGCCGATTTCTCCTCTTTATTGACTAGAGACAGCTCTATCTCTCTTCTGGTTCGGCTTTGTCCTTGATTCCCGAATACCTCATCTTTGTTAGGTATCGTCTGAGAACTGAAAAGTTCGCTTCTCGAAGGCTTCGTACTTTGACCCAAACTGAGAGAGTCAGCTCGCAACAAAGCTGGGGAACTGGGGAAAGTTGCTTGTGACTCAGACAAAACTTGTGAATTGAAACCTCCTGTCAATCTTGTTTCACTTGGAGAAGAAGAAGTTTGCGAGTGTGATTGGGAAGACTTCTGCGAACGTATGAGGAATTCCGATGATGGACTGTAAGAACAAACAGTAGTTCTTGGCGAAGATTCTTGCGAACTGGAATGATACGAGAGTGTCGAACTGTGCGACCTATGAGAAGTTGTACGCGAAGGGGCCTGTGAACTGCGGACATCTGTTCGCGGCTGAGAATAGCCCTGCGCAAGCAATGAGGTTTGCGAATTAAGCAAAACTGTTCGCGATCTTCTTCTTGTCTGTAAATGTTCTTCCATAGCAGCTAGCTTTCTCGCGAGGTTATCCAGCTTTAACTTCACCTCTTGCTGATTCCGCTCCAGCGAATCCATGCGCTGATCCATTTTACCTCTAACTCTAACCGGATTCAGATACTTCTCCGATCAATCCTGAAGTCGCCAGGAGCTTAATGCTCTGATACCAATGATAGAACATTGATTTGGGCCTATCCAAGTCCCAAATAATTCTGACTTAGAATTGTAGAGAATCACTAAGAAATTGATCAAGAAGAGATGAAGAAAATGTTTATTGATGAACGATGTGTTTACGGAATGAATACAACGGACAATTCGAGATGCCCAGTCCCCTAGCCTATCCAAGTCCCAAATACTTGCCTGCCTATTTGCCTACCCTCCCCTTTCTATTTATAGTACAAGCCCACTTATTATTATCTACGATAATAGGCCCACTTATTATTAATTCTAATAATAGGCCCATTTAATATCTATTCCTAACACTTACTTGTTAAAGCCTTTAAGGCCTTCCGTCTCAAATGAGGTAAGTAAAGAATTAAAAGAGGAAGAAGTTGAAAGGTACAGAAAGGAGTTTGCATCCAATACAGTATTAGTTTCAGAGGATGGAAACTATGAGGAGCTGCAGAAAAGTGAAGAAATATTTTTTGCTATGGAGTGCTGGAAAGAGAATGAACCGAATGAAACTTCACTACAGATTTCTGTTGCTACTGAAAGTTCTGTGATCTTAAAAGATCTCGTACTGAAGTCCTTAGTCCATCAACCAGTCAGGTAATTGGGAAGGGAGAGGCGCAAGGATGAAAAGGAAGCAGAAGATCTTGGTTGTCTCCTATCACCCACCTTGAGGGCAAGGTGGATGTTTAGGGAGGGAGTATTGATAGGGATCGAACTATTAGACTAATAAATAGAAGAGTTAGTTGTTAGTTATATTTCTGTTATTAACTAATAACTAGAGTAGGTTGTATTGGAAGGCTATAAATAGAATAGTATGGGAAGGAGAAGAGGAGGCTGTTTTTGACTATTAGTCATTTCTGGGAAGATCATAGTTGTATCTCTATCTTTTGGGGGCTTCGGCCATTGTTGTCTTGCGAATAAATTTGGTGCAGTTACGTTATTGTTGAATTCTGTGAATTACTGTAGAATTGCAGAGTTCTAACACAATTGCATGATGAGGTACTCTTAATGCTAGTAGAGAAAAGTTAAGGTATTAATTTGACATTTTCATTGATTTGGAAGGATAACCATTACTTTCTCATAAAGAACTCAACCTAGTAATGGATCGAGTCCACTAATGAATTGAGGAACCGGATGTGTTTATTCTTTTCGTTTTAGAATTATCGTAATAAATATTTTTACTCTATTACTCAAGAAGAAGAAAGAAGGGGAGCCTTGGCGCATTGGTTAAGGTGTTGTTGTTCGACCTAGAAGTAATGGGTTCAAGTCTTGGGAGTGGCCTCTTGTGACAAGGGAAAGTTTGCCCTCTATACATTCTTGTGGTGGGACCCTTCACTGGACCTTCGCCTTGCGAACATGCCAATGTCCATTGAGCTGTCCTTTCTTTTACTCAAGAAGAAAGGAAAGAATGTTTTCCAATATTTGTTCTAGGGTTGCATACTTGAATCCCAAATAATTGTAATCTAAAGAACTTTATTGCAAATTTGCCCTGCACAGGTTTTACTGGAATAGATGATCCTTATGAGGCACCTTCAAACTGTGAGGTGATAATTTATTTTATTTCAAATTAAATGATTGCAACGAATAACACTTTTGTTTACATTTTATTTACATAAGCCTCACAACATATAAGAGCTGGAGTGTGAGTCTCAACTTTAAAATCTGGGCAATAAGGTTAGGAAATCCATCTCTTATATGGAGGTTGGGATATGCATAATATCCAGAAGTGCCTATGAAGCACGGGAACTTCTCGTGGCTCACATTTCCCCATTTCATGACTCTAAAATGTGTCAAAACTAGGAAACTTCAAATATCCATTTCGGTGCCATCTCTATAATTAAGAACTGTGAAACCCGTTTCCCTAAATAATTAGCGTTTCAAAAACTTCGTATGTACATCTTTTTCTTTTTGATGGGATTCCCTTCATGTAAAACAGTATATTTTTAAAAATTAGTGAATTTTATGTGATTTCATCCTAGAAATATTGTAATATTACATAACGCAACGCATTGCTAGAAATGTATTGCATTTTATGCTTACTTATGTACTAATATATGTAATATTTCTAAATTTGAGCATGTAGAATGTATTTATTATTGGTTATAAAACAAAGTTATATGAAAAAAATGTGCATATATAAATGAAACGACATATATGAAAAATATTTCTTATTAAGTCTTTATATTTTTTAATATTTACGCATTTCCCCGTTTCATATCCTATATTTCTATGACTAGTTCATTGTATGTATTGGAACCCTTATTTATGTTTTATTCTATTACTGTCTAAAAAGAATCTTTTATGTAGATTGAGCTGGGTCAAAAAGACGGAGCATGCCCTACACCAAATGATATGGCTGCTGAAGTTGCCACTTATTTGGAGGGCAGAGGTTTTCTGCAGACTATATGATCACAACAGATTGTGGAAAAGGAACTTGCTTCTGCTCCAAGAACATCAGGGAAGTTGTGTATTTACAAATGCAATTATTCTCTGTTAGCAGGGGTGAAACCTGGGCTATTGCTTATAGCCTTCCTGCTTGTCATACTTTATAGTTGACATCTTTATAGGAATTGGGAATTATATAAGAGCAACAATTTAGTATTATCCTCAATTTACACTATTAACATGTTCTACTTTGACTACGAGTACATGTTATTTATTAATTTGTGAGAATTGTTTTTTAAGACTATTCAATTCGTCTCATTACAAAAAAAAAATTGTTTTTTTATTTTTTCACTAATAGAGAATAAGATATATCGACAGTCAAATGTGTATGTTGTCAAATGTGCAAAGTTGACTGTTACAACTAAAAAGAACTGGAAAACATATATGTTAGAGTACTTGTTAGAACAATAACTTAGTATGTATTATTATAATAATAACAACTTGGTATCTTTTAGAACTAGTATTGTATCGGTGCAAATGTGCAATATTAAGAGAAAAGCAATGTTCTAAAAGACGTAAAGCGTGTTGAGGTGATGCGATAAAGCCTTGAGCCATGAAAACACGTTTTATTTTTTACTAATTCTTTTAATTTTTAGAGTTGTTAGCAAAAATATATTTAGATGAAATATTAGAACATACCATGTAAGTATATATGATTAATAGTTATCATAGTATAGTTTTATTGTAACTTAAATGTAAAAACTGAATCTACGTTGTAGATTTTATTTGATGATTATTTTAAAGATTATCATTGTGAGTGGGGGATTATTTAGTGAGATTATTGAAAAGGAAAATCTGGTATCAAGTTTCCAATCCCAGATTATTTTAGATTGTAGTTAAATTACATTTGATGCATGTCCGGGAAAAACCGATTATTTGAGTATTATTGTTGATGAAGAGTTTTAAACTGATATTATTCAAAAATTATTGAATAAATGTGATGTGTCAATGATGTGTAATAAAAAAAATCATTTATTTAGAGAGCATGAATGGAGATGCTCTAATACTCTAATAGTACATGAATGATTATCACTAAATTAGGTAATCATATACTAGAAGTGAAGGTTTTTTTGACAAAGATGGCAACTTCGACATACTGGTATGGTATATATTCAATGACAATAAACAAAAGTCAACACCTCCATATTAAATGTAAAAGAATATGAAATTACAAATGAAACAATGTCTAAACACCAATGGTTGAGAAGGATGAACTTCCTTATTCAAGAATACCTAGAAATAGCAAGAATAACATATAAAAACTAGGAATTATAGTTTGGAATGAGTGATGATTAAATGATGGAAATGGGGGGTTTATATAGGCTAAAAATTGGCATCTTTTAGTCTATTCACGATAAAAAAATTAGATAAATGGAAATTTCTTACCTCTCAACCTCCAGGTCTTCACATCTCTTCGCAATATTTTAGCATGTTCTTTATTTTGTGCTGAAATAAGGACGAGCAGCGCCAGTTTGGCATGTGACCGGAGCCAGTTGTAGTCATTCTTTGCGGGAAACTAGACCCACTGGTGCCGATTACATCAAATGACTGGCCCGGTCCATTACAGTGGCATATTTTGCAAATTCAACATCCGATTGGCGTCGGTTGTAACCAGACTGACTCTGTATGTAGCCAGACCAGCACCAAAGTATATATCTTTTTGCCGTTACCATCTTTGATTCCTTCACCAAAGTTATAGAGAAGGAAGTCTTATATCCATCAAAACTTGAATCACCTAATTTGAATCATCCAATCAAAAGATATGAATAAAATAGTGAGAGGTACATATCCTGAAATCCCACCCGCAACATTTAACTTTATCAATTGATTGGATCTTGCTCCTTTCATATTCTGACCATGACACCTTTACAATATTTGTATCTTATTGAATTATCTATCATTCATATGAAATTTGAATCGAGACATTTGAAATTTTCTACAATAAGTTACACTCAAATTATGAGTAGAACTGTCATTCTTTTGGTTCAAAGAGTCGTTCATCACAATATTTTATGCTCTAGCTCTCATTCTGAAAGTATTTATCCGGTTTCTCTTTTTCTTCAACAAATGCTTATAAATATTTTTGGTTTCTCTTTTTCTTCAACAAATACTTATAAATACTTTTATTAAACACGGCTATCAAATTCCCTCACAATTGAGCATTGTTTGTCCCGTTGTTCTCAAGCAATTTCTTTTTTTAGAAAGCGGAAATTCTTCACGAGGCAACCCTTTTAGAAAATTTCTCACCTTTACGTTTAGGGATGGACTCGGGTCCGGGCCAGGTCCGGGTCGGGCCTAGGCCTGGGCGGGCCGGCGGTTCAAGAGTGGTGGACCCGGGACCGGCCCGGGTAACCACCGGGTCAGATCCAGGCCGGGCCGGGCCCATTATCAAATTTTTTCCCCTCTTCCTAATTAACCCCCCTCCCACCCCCAACCCCTAAACCACCCCAAATGGCCCAAAATACCCAGCCCAACTCGAAAATTTAAAAAAAAATTGAAAAAAAAAATAGTTTTGGCCCGAACCGGGCCCGGGCCCAACCGGGTCGGGCCTTGTTTTGGGTGACCCGAGCCAGGACCGGAAAACCCACGGATCGGGCCTATCCGGACTGGTCACTGACCGGGCCACCGGGTCGGGCCGGGCCAGAACAGTACCGGTCCTGGGCCGGTTCCGGGTCGGGCCACCCGGCCCGAGCCCATCCATATTTACGTTACCAAAACAAATTAAGCATTTTAGAAACAATTATCTAACATGTTCAGAAAAACCACGTGTCCATGACTTGTACCACAAGAGTGATTAAATTACTTGTAACCACTTTATATTCTTAAGGTATAACACAAATCTACCCTCAAATAACACTAGATGAGATTTATCTTTCAAATAATATAACATTGCATGGTAATTTCACTCTACAAAAAAATCACTAAACTTCATCATATTGACTTATTTCGATAAATAAGTCAAACCTTGGAAATTATAAATTTTTTAAAGTTGATATTGCTGTAGTATTCATGTAAAATCATTAAAATCTCATCTTTGCCTAAACACAACTAACTCTACGATTTTCTATAGCTCACACCTAGAAAACATGCAATCTGCGTACAAGGCTATAAACCCACCCATGGGTTATCCGAAAACAATCTCTCAATGTTTTAATACATGGTAAGCATCCGATCCCCCTTACCTCACCTTATATTGCTCAACATTCTTCTAAATATAAACTCAGATTTGAAGGTGACAATGACAAACATGCAACTTCATATCAACTTGATTCGTGAGCAAACAAAGATTGGCTGCCATGACCAGATCCAATCAGAAGTATAAGTAGATAGTAACTAGCTATAGTTTAAAGTTTAAACACAACATGATTTCATCACATAGAACTAAACTTGAACACCAGTTAAGATGACCAAAATGATCATTTCAATGATTGATCTAAGGTCCAGTTCCTCATAAACCGCCAATGCAGTTCGAGCAGATCAAAACCCTTGTGAGTGCTTTGCCAGTTCAGTCTACAGAAATGTTAAAATAAAGGATGATCACAAATTGTATTAACAGAATAATATAACTTAAACCTTTCATAGAAAAGAACCACAATCTGCCATTTCCATCCATGCTTAAACATTAATGAGATTGAAGTCATTCCCGAGCCTTTCAAGTTCAAACACTTAAATTATACGTAGTATAAAGACTGAAAAAAAAATTAACTAACTTTCGAATTAAAAAAACAATTATTTCATTTTATTTGCATTTTCATTGGTGAAACTGAACATATAGGACAACTTTCCTTATCATTTTGCCCCCTTGCCCTATCATTTATAGGATTCAAACATAGCCTAAAATAATAGGAATAAGAAATTAAGTCATCCAAATGTCAGAACAACACATGACATACTACTGAATATCATAAGATCAACAGTCCACAGAAAAAGAGAGTGAATGTCACAACAGCACAGCAAATGAAGCTCATCATGAGTCCAGCAGTCCACAGCAAAAAGACTGAATGCTAAGACAAAGCCAATGTAATTACATGCATACTATTTGGAACACACCAAATAAATGTAATGCAGAATGACATGCATATGGTTTTACTTTTACCATTATATAGATGTTTCATGTTAGCTGATCCCAAACTCTTTTGGGACTAAGCCCAAAGGCTTGGATGTTGTTGTTGTTAGATGTTTTATGTTTTAATCAGAATTTCTTTATAGTTCCAAGTTGATCCATGGAAAAAAACAGTGAATGGCAATCTATGGGCGCGAAAAACACAACTATTATAATACACAATATATGATTACATGCATGGGCATACAAAACATGTGTATAATTTGGGGAAAACCTTTTTGTGTTTACAAATTTCATTTTAAAATTTCTTCTTACCGGCCCAACCCAATATTATTTTTGGCCATGCCTCTGGTCACATGCATGTCATTGTAAACACTCTAATCAACTGTACCACAACAATATGCACATATCGTGTTTCATTCCGGGGCATAAACAGACAGGTAATTTTTATAAGAGTAACTTTCAATCATTAACAAATAATTGTATAATAATGTCAGCAAAAAGTTAGGAAGAAAAACACACTTCAAATTGGTTTTTCAAATGATCCAGCTCCTTGTCAAGATCATTGATAGCCTGATTATAAGCCTGCATTGGTGAAGACTGGCTTGTTGTTTGAATCTGCAAATAGGGCATTTAAAAATTCAGCATTGAAGAGACATGAGTTTTTAAGATACATAACAATACATAGCAAAATTGGAAAACAAAAAGTTAAATAATACTTCAAAGAAATATAAAAAATATAACACTTCAAAGAGAATGACTTGCCCTAAGAATGATCTTATACTGAAGAGGGTGAGGTAACTTGTAACCAGAAAAGAGAACATTCTCATCCCTGTGCAATTGCCTGCATACACAACATAATCACCACAAGACCACAAAAGGAATAAAAAACTAGGTGTTATAGAAGTTACCTAAGGGGATGTTTGTATCGTGGAAAATGCTACTAGATTAGGGAAACAATGATATGCAAGTGATTTTGTTGTGTTTAATGAGCCTTGGAAAATGACCACTGTGTTTTACGGATTATTATTATTTTTAAATATTATAGATCTCTTAGTGATTGATGAGACGCAATCCGGTGTTAAAGCGAAGTTGAAAGTATGGCGACAAACATTGGAGACCAAGGGTTTCAGACTGAATCGAAGCAAGACTGAGTATATGGAGTGCAAGTTTGGTGGAGGTACAAGTAGTAACAACAGTGAGATTTCTCTTGATAAGGAGATACCGGTGTGTGATATGTTCCGTTATTTGGGCTCCATAATTCAGAAGGATGGTGAATTAGATAGAGATGTATGTCATAGAATCAGAGTTGGGTCGATGAAATGGAATAGTGCATCAGGATTTCTATGCGATCAAGGTATGCCGACTAGACTGAAAGGTAAATTTTTATCGAATAACATAAGGGCTGCATTAATGTATGGCGTAGAGTGTTGGGCGGTGAAGCAATGCCGCATTCAAAAGATGAGTGTGACAGAGAAGCGTGTGTTGCGTTGGATGTGTGGACATACCATAAAGACCGCTTGAGGAATGAGATAATCAGACAAAAGATGGGAGTAGCACCTATAGAAGATAAGATGCAGGAGTCTCGTATACGGTGGTTTGGGCATGTGCGTAGAAGACCGAGTGATGCACCTGTTAGACGACTTGAGGGGTGGGGAGAAGAGACAGAGAAGAGAGGGGAAGGAAGACTCAAACAGACCTGGATGAGAGGAATCAGAACTGATATGCGTCTTCTTGAGTTGGATGAGAGTATGGCATTGGAGAGAGCAAAGTGGAGGGCGCACATCCGTGTGGATGATAGATGTATTTTCTAGATTTCCTCTCTCTTTTCTTTTATCGTTCATCTTCTTTATCTTTTATATTCTTATGTTATTTTTATTTTCTAGCTTTTTTATGCTCTTTTATTTTTCTATCTTTTATCTTTCTTATATTCTTATGTGATTGTTATCTTATATTTATTTATCTTTATTTTATCCGTTTTATCTTACTTCTTTTTCCCCTTCCTTGTCCTTCTCTGTTTGGCATCGATATCATAGATCGATTCATGTTAGCCGACCCCAAATTCTTTTGGGATTAAGGCTTGGATGTTGTTGTTATTGTTGTAGTAGTACTACAGATCTCTTAGTCTTGACATTATAGGCATGTGAATACATAAAACTTATATCTAAAAAGACCCCCCAACACACACACACACATTTCCTTTCCTTCTATCTATTCTGTGGTTCCCTTCCACAATTTCAAAAACTAGCTCTAAACGCACCCTACAACAAGGGTGGAGCAAATTACATGCGTAGAATATTGCCGATGGTGTGGTCTTCCCTCTCGACAGTTAAGGTGGCAGCATTGATAATCTTTGTATCCCGCTCATATGAAACCCTAGCGAGAGAAAGCGGAGAATAAACACACAAGAATAACTGAATATATAAATTCATAAGATGAATTGCATGATAAGAAAGAACAAGACAAACAAAGGAAATATACTTCTTAATGCCTTCAGGGACGACAAATCGCTCGTAACGATCAGGAGCATTCATTTTTCTTTTGTTGTTATCTGGCCTCTTCTTCTCCTATGTAATGGCTGTTTAACACGACAAACAACCCGAACACAAATGAAACTCTTTAATTAAAGCCCGTTTAGTAACACTAAATGGTTGAATCTACTTAAATTTATGAAACTCTGACTGAAGTGGCTGAATTGGTTGAATCCTCTTAGTTATGAAAAAATCATATTTAAAATATATTTTATTAATAGAATTTACAAAATTACATAAAAAAAAGGTTAAAATTATCATCTACCGTAAATTCAACCAAAAAAGTAACTCTCACTTTTGTTTATTTTATTACTACGTACTCCCTTCGTCCCATTGGACTTCGCCAACTTTCCCTTTTCGGTTGTTCGAAAAAACTTTGCCACTTTACTATTAAAACAACTAATTTGTGGTTCTACTCAATCATCTCTCCTCTACACAAACCTCAACCACACAATTTTTACTTTTCTTATATCTCACCTACTTTGAACTTGGCAAAGTCTACCGGGACGGAGGTAGTAACCGTAGTATTACACAATTCAAAGAGTGAAGTAAAAAAACTATATGTTTCCTAAAACAATTGAGTAATTGACTGATAAGCTAAAAATGAAGGTAATCAAATACGCTCTTAATCTTGAAGAAAAAAGAAACAAACAAAAAGGAGTAAATGAGTAGATGAAATGTAAACATCTATTAAAATACTCCATATGCCCCACAAGACTTTGTCAGATTTTTCCATTTAAAGTGACAAATATGTGGTTAAAGTTATTTTTCTCTCCTCTGCACAAATCTCAACCATACGGTTTTCATTATTCTTCTTCGTGTAAGTCAAACAGACTTTGCGTAAGTGAAGATGAAGGGAAAAACAAGAGCATCACAATAACTTACCTGATAGAACACTGCAGCTTCTTTCTTGTGGAGAAAAGACGCTGAATATGGAAGGTTATTTGAGGGATGAAACCTAGTAAGTGTAAAGCAGTGCATATAGGAAGAGGAGAGAGTCATGAGAAACTCATAAATATTTCAAAATTGAAAAAATATGTAGACAAGATTTTCATATTAACAAATTACTGGATTCAATTAGAAGCAAGGCATCATTAAAATTTTCATAGCAGCATATTAACAACAATTCATATTCATGAACAAACTACAATTGTGGTGATGACATAGAATGACCTATGCATTTTTTTATACATCATATCAGAAAGGAGGAAAAAATCAATGCCGAACAAACAAGTAAAATAATTCAACAGAATTACAATGTATAATAAGCACAATGACACATTAATACTAATAAACTAAAACGTAAACATATAAAATCATGTAAAAAGGGATTTAAACTAGACTTAAAACTGAAAAACTAAAAACTAAAACATAAACACTAGCAATGGGATATCACGGGCGAAGTTGGATGGGAGATAGCACTGGAATAACTTTATATCTTAACAAACACCAAAGTGGGACTTAAAGTAGTGAGGGAGAATGATAATGTTCTCATCAAATGGACCTATGGATAGAAATGTAATTTGCAAAACAAGTCACCTTCTATGAGGAAAATAAACCCAACATCTTCAACTATGCAACAAAGCATCATAGTTATATATGATATTGAAAACAAGTTCTTAGAAAATAGTCTATTGGATGAAAATTCTGAATTCTTAACCTTAATTACTTGTCTAAATTGTGAATTTGATCAACTATATAGTCTATATCTTTATGTTTGGATGAAAATTCTGAATTCCCATGAGTTTGAATGATAAATTCCATAAAGTATGTTTAAGCTAAGGCTTCAAACAAAAACTGCAATTTTTATTAGGTAGGCAAATGTTAAATTATTAGCTAAGGCTCCATATGATCATTGCATGTATGCTCATACGGAATATATATGATTAAATTATCTAAAGGTGTTATCTATTTTAAAGCCACACCTCTTCAAACGTTGGCTATTCAGTGCGTTTTAGCAAAAATTTCAGAGATTCAATCACAGCAATATAGTGAAAATTAACTAAATGATCTGTATGACATAAATTTTTCGATGAAGAAGGGCGAAGTAAACGAAAAAGAATCTGAGAAATTGAACCTGCGAACAAGTTCGAATGCTGAGAATCGGAATTAAGTTCGTCCCAGGTCGGTTTCTCCGAAGGGTCTTAACAATGCGGACAAGTGACGCCGGTTTCTTTTTGCGGCTTTCTTTTGAGGAGCGACCAACTGACTTCTGTTCGAGTGCTGAGGCCGCCTGCGTGCGAAAGGTTTTTCTCCAGAGCAAAAAAGAATGTCCGTGCGTGACTCAGGGTTAACTTTCAAATCCTAAACTCCATTAACATTCTCTTTAAAATGCATTCTTTATTGTTATATACTCCCTCCTTCCGGTTGGTCAAATTTCCTTTTTTTTGATGTCCCAAAAAGATTTTTCATTTTCATATAAAGTAAGGAATATGTGACTAAAATTAATTCTCTCTCATCTGTATAAATTTCAACCACACATTTTTTATTTTATTAATCCACGTGAAAGTCAACTTTGGCCAACCTTTTCGGGACGGAGAGAGTACTAGTTAAATACTCCGTAATTAACAAATTTAAATTGTTTTTTTTAACTGACAAATTTAAATTGTTTAAAAAATGTTCAAAGTTATCTTACAAATTATTTAAACTATATATGCATAGTTTTCCCCATAATGGATGAGTAAAAAGAGACATAAGACATTTGTTTACAAGTAAGACTCCGACCATTCAGAAACACCCTAGAAGAATATAATATCAATATTGTAGTAATAAAAAATACCAAGTATAAAATAGAGTGAGTTAAATGATTAGGTTTATAGGGTGTAAAACATATATGTCAATTTAATGGTTGATGTCAATAGCCCTAAATATGTAGGCATTGAGAGGTAATGAATTTAATTATATATGGCAACACTGCACTACCATAAACCGCACTACCATAAGTAAACTCAATAATATTTCTAATTCAATAGTTAATGTTCAATTCCTCTTTGATAATCACATGAAATACTGTGCAAAATATTGCAATGGATGGATTGAGATGGAGTTGGTCAGTTGGGGGTGACATGAATGATGATCAACATTTCTCTTTCATACTTATCCCATATATATACGCGTAGCCATATAACAATATTCAACTTCCAAATCAAACTCATGTCTCCATATTGACATTTTCATTTAACAACTTTGCCTAGGGCTGGGTGAAATGGTTTGATTTAACCGAACTGAATCGAACCGAAAATTGGTGGTTTGGTTTGGGTTGGATTTACCTAAGTAAACTGTTTGGTAACAATTTGCACAAATCGAATGGTTTGGTTTGGTTTAAAATCCAAAAACCATAAACCAAACATCGAACAACTTGTAAAAAGTGCAACGAAAATAAGCAAAAGTGCAAGTGAAACATGAAAAAGTGCAAATTTCGCACTTTGCACGGGAACACTACTTTTTATTTGAACCCTCCCCTATATATATATATATATAATATATATAATAAGGATCAAATGAGAAGAGTGTTTATCGTAAGAAGTGAGAATGCATCTAGTGCGTTCAATTTAAGATCTGTGCATCAGATTAGCAAAAAAGTGCACGGGAAAGTGCAAAAAATATTTAAAAAGTGATGCTAGACGCGGTGGCATTTTCGTAATTAATCGGAACTTTTCTGCCATCGCAAAAAGTGCATCAAATTAGCAAAAAAGTGCATCAGAAATAGGTAAATATGTAACTTCTCACTTCTCACATTAAGATGTCTTCTCATTAGAACCCGATCATACACACACACACACACACACACACACACACTACCTCTGTCCCTAAATGTTTGTCTTACTTTCCCAAAACGGATGTCCCAAAATATTTGTCCTACTTTTTCAACTTCCTTATTTGGTAAACAAATCTATACCAAACAGTGTCAAACAGTGCAAAACGGTGCCAAACAGTGTTGCTACAGTGTCAAACAGTGTCGCTACAGTGTAAAGTCAAATTCATTTCCTTAAAATTGTGAAGTCAAAGTAGGACAAACATTAAGGGACGGAGGGAGTATATAATAATACTTTGTTTTTATCTTCACTATTCATCTTTAAGATGTAAATAAATAATTTAGACATGAAAAATACGTATTTTGCATATATCATTTTAACTTTTACACATTTCATAAAATCAGTATGACAAAGTTAGCTAATACAACATATTTGTATTTGTTATGTTTTGTACTCTACATGTATGAAAAGATGTTCGGCGATAACAATAGCAAATTGCATTTTTTACATGAATCATTTGAATAAAGTTGTGAGTATATCAACATTTGTATAACTGACTCCTTTAGTTTTCTTTGAATATTTTATGTGATTTATAAATGCTAATCAACTATAAATTTATTTTTTTGTGAGAAGTGAATCTTTTTTCTAGAGATCGAAATAATGTTAAAGGTTTTAATTAATACTACGTAATATATAATTTTTTCAATCTTCTATTTCCTTTTACATTTTATTTAAATAATAAATAAAAGAAAAATGAGATGGACTACTACTTTCATCCTCTGATTCTAAAATATAGAACTTGATCAAATACTATAATAAACATAAGAAACCGAATAAAATCGAACTAAATCGAAGCTAATATTTTCACTTTGGTAAACTGAACTTCAAACCGAACCGAAACCGAAACGTAACCAAACTGAAACACAAATAGTTTTAGTTGGGTACGAACTCTCCTAAACCGAATAAATCAAAACCGAACCTAAACCGAAGAAAACCGAACCGTAGACCGAATTGCCCACCCCTAGTTTTGCCTCTATAACTAAGGAAATTAATACTGAGTACATATTCAAGTAGGTAAAAGGTACAAGTGTACCCATGTACTATGAGTGTGAGAACAAATATAGCTATGTTCTATTTTTCCGAACAAATATACCCCTAAAATATATGTTGAAGTGCATATATACCCCTGAACTTTTAAAAAGTGCAAAAATACCCCTCATGTTCTTATAAAAGAGCAAATTTATCTGTATTAACTTTAAATAGATAAAATAAAGTTCAAAAAATACCAAAAATAAATTATAAATTAGAATTCTAAAAATCAAGATTTATTATTATGTTAAAATTTTACCTCTTTAATTTTAAATTGCAAAATTATTATTTTTTTTTGTAAATGAAGCACTTCAAATTCATAAATATTAATTTTAGTCTTGTTGTTAAATTTTGTACACATTGTTATATTTTTTGAAATAACATTCTTTGATTTTGTTTAACCTTAATGAAATTAAATTCACTATTTTCTAATATTGGACTATATATCGCCATACAGAATATGTATTTATAGTGCAAAGAATGCAAAAAGTTAATATTTTTTACATTGCTACATATATTTTAACACTTTTTTCAAAAGAATCTTAAATATATAGTAAGGTTTTGAAATAATATTTTATACTAACAATATTAAATTGTGATATACAAACAATAAAAGGAAGAATTGGACACAAGTACATATTTAAAAAATTTATTTTTTAATTATCGAATTTATAATTTACTTTTGGTGTTGTTTAAAATTTATTTTATCAATTTAAAGTAAAAAATGGTAGATTTGCTCCTTTATAAGAACATGAGGGGTATTTGTTCATCTTTCAAAAAGTTTAAGAATATATATATATGCACTTCCACATATACTTCTGGGTATATTTGTTCGGAAAAATAGAACAAATGTATATTTGTTGTCACACTCATACTAAATGAGTATATTTGTACCTTTTCTCGGTTAAAGTTTGACCCCGACATTTTGGAAAAACAACAACAACAACAACAATAAAAGTAATAATAATATAATAATAATAATAATAATAATAATAATAATAATAATAAATAAAATATTAAAATCATATCTGAACTTTTTTGATATGATGTGTATCATTTCGATCTGTTATAATCTGAATCATTCTAATCGATCTGATCTAATCTGAAATTTTTCCATTCCGGGAAATTTACATAAAATTGATATCTTCTACATAACACACAAGTTGTCTAGGTAACGTAGACAAAAAAATAAAATGCAAAATAAAATGAAAACATTAAGTGGATCAAAGCAATCAAGTGCTTAGAGTAATTAAAATGCGTGGGCCAGATTGGATTTAATGGAGGTAACTCAACAGTTGGATATAACGGTGGTAAAGAGAACAAATAGTTTTAATAAGGCGAAATTCACAAAAATAATCTCTACTTTCAGGAATTTTACAAAAATAATCCCTACTGAGAGTATTCATAAAAATAATCCGAACTAGCAATAGTGTCCACAAGAATAAATTGAGGTAAATTAAAATTATTTCTCATTTAGTTCTCCCAAATCTTACCTCTACTTTCTCCTTTATCACTCTTCTTTTCGGGTAACACTTTTATCTTCTATCCTAGAAAAAATCATATAAGACTGAAATAACATTAAAATTAAATAGGTTTTAGTTTTAATTCACTTCGATACGAAGAGCGGAGAAGAGAAAGGTTATAGTAGGGATTGATAGTATTAAACGGACATTAATTTGAATTAACCTCAATTTATTCTTGTGGACACTATTGTTAGTTCAGATTATTTTTATAGACAGTTTCAGTAGAGATTATTATTATTGAATCACTAAAAGTACGGATTATTCTTATGAATTTCGCCTTTTAATAATGAAGAGTACAATGACTAAAATAAATTGTATAAGTGCATTTTGCTTTAGTATTACACCAACATTTTGTCATTCCAAAAATGTCCTAATCATCATTGTTGTTTATAAGTTTGTACTGGTTTTCTAAAGCGCAACCGCGCGCTCGTGGTAATGCCCAAGGCCATTGCAGGGATATTAATTCCTCGGTTTAGGTTGAGTCAATATATGAGTAATATGAATACAATATTTGAATACATAGTTTATTATTTATTGATAAGGACTTATCAGATGAGTATAATAAACATAGTAGTAGGAGTAAGGTTCAAATGAAACACTAGCATGCATTTGTGTTGTAGTGCATGGAGAAAATTAAAGCAAGAGATGTAGGAAAACAGTTGTATTGATAAAAATAGCGGGAAAAGGTGACAAGTAATTAAGCTTTTTCTTGCACTTCAAATCAACACGTATAGTATTACATAATGAACACGGACCATAATGAACACGTTGTTCCTTTCGTAAAACACGATCTCATTTTACTTAATATTTATTAACTGAATCAGACTTATGTACACCATTAAAGTCAATAAAATATTTGATTCCCATATGATTAAGCAAAGAAGATAAACAATTAATATGGCTATTAATTTTTTTAAGGAAACACTGTTGAAAAATCTAACTAAAACAACCGAAAAGATATGCATGGGTAAAATGGAATGGCGAAAATTATCTTACCACCAGACGAAACACGAACAACTCAAATTGCCAACAATCTCTCCTGCCTAAGAAAGGTTTTAAAAAGCACATACAAGGTTAAATTAGTCTCTAAAAGGTGGAAAACTGAAAATGATACAAACAGAGCATTTAATGAAAGCGTGTGTATCAGTTATGCCAGGTCATTGTTACTTAATCATGTGACATTTGCTAATTCAGGAATGAAATCTAAGAACAACACACATAAGCAATACAGTTGAATTTTCATCATTGAATGAAAAAGTTGAACACTCGAAAGCATGCAAAACATGGTTTTTTCCTATGATGACTAATTTTTGTTCTGTTTACAGGATACTTACTCACACGGACATAATACAAACATTTGTGTTCTCTAACATTTTAGAGAATCTAAACTTTGATGAAATTCCTAGATGAATCAACTATTCAAAACCTTATGCAAACTTCACTGCCATTTGAATGAGAGACCTGAAATTAATCGGCCGTTTTAGAGACCTGAAATTATAGCAAAGAAAATTTTATAGCAGAGAAAATTTCGTCCAGGGAATTTTTTAACTTCTAGGAAACTAAAACTCAACATAAAGAGCACATCTTCTCAATATGTAATCAGAATGCACGAAACGACTTACTTCATTTCATTTGGGCATTTAAACAAACACATAGATGGCACAAATATAAAGGGGAAACTACACAATAAGCAGATGGAATCATCAACTCAATCCACCCAAACTACTATCATAAACAATTCTGGGAGCCCGTACAGAACAGCGACAAATAGAAATAAACAAGTAGACCGAAACATAGATGATGCGGAGAACACTAACAATAAAGTAACCATACAATGCAAATTGGTTGAATAGATAAAAAACTTACAAGAGTAGAACAAAGAAGAAGCGTAAAATTCACTGAAGAGCTGCGGCAAATTACTTATAATCCACCATCCTATGACCTTTGAGATGCTAAACCGCCGAGAAGCTATTACGAGGACAGTATGCAGCGGCTGAAACCGAAGAGAGCAGCTGAAAGGTTTTCAACAAAATAAATAAATAGTAGAGAATCAAAAATAAAAGAGCCGAGGATTGATATAACGCTGAGGAGTGCTGCATTAATAAAGGATATAACGTTGAAAGGTGCGAGCATGTTAATGATGTACAACCAAGTAAATATAAAGCATAATCAGATTATGCACCATCAACATTTTTTTATGACCGTTTAACCCCTGACAAAATTCCCTCTTATAGTATTGTAGAGAAACATTTTTTATAACCATTTAACCCCTGACAAAATCCCCTGTTATAATATTGTAGAGATAAATAGGGGTGGACTCGGGCCGGGCCAACCGGCCCGGAACCGGACCGGCCCGCCACTGTGCGGGCCCGGACCGGCCCGGGAACCGGTTCGTTGGGCGGTTCGGGCCACCCGGCCCGGTGGATTCTCGGTTCGGGCTCGGGCCCTTCAAAAGGTGAACCGGCCCGGCCGGTTCGGGCCCGGGCCGGGCCAATTTTAATTTTTTTTTTGATTTTTTTTTGAGTTTTTGGGTTGGGCTGGTTATTTTGGGCCATTTGAGGTGGTTAGGGTTGATTTGGGGGTGAGGGGGAGGGGTGGGGGTTAACTAGGAAAAGCCCCAAAAAAAAAAAATACCCGAGGCCCGGCCCGGCCCGGACCCGGGGTTTACCCGGGCCGGTTCCGGGCCTCCCCTTCTTGAACCGAGGCCCGGCCGGGCCCGAACCGGCCCGAGTCCACTCCTAGAGATAAAGATAAAGATGTACTGCGACCATATTCTACGTGAGTTGCAAATTGTTCGTCGAAAAAAAAAATCAATTTCTTGTAATGTATTTTAAAGTATACATAGTATTTCTTAACCAACTTAGACAATTACTTCAGCCGATTTAATTTTACCACTTTCAGAAGATTCATCTAATCCTTTTGGGTAACTTTTTCACTATGTCTTTTTTAAAAGTAAAAATGTTACTTGAAATAATATAAAATAAAACTAATAACATAGACACATTAACACATAGTGTAATAATGATGATAAGAATCCATTCAAAAAACAATGATAAGTAGCCGTATCTAAAATATTGAGTTTTTTTCCGTATTAATGCTAATTAAATAAATAATTATGGAGTTAATGTTGGATTAAAATTATTTACCAATATATTGCTGGGATTAACTCTGGTCGGGTAAAGTCGTCAAACCGTTTGGCGACTTTCCCCTTCCCAAATACGTTAACACCCAAATTAAACGTTCTGTTTCAGACCGGTGCCAGTCAGGGTCCAACTGGGGCTGGTCGGGGCGCCTCGGTGGCGAAAAATTGCGTTTTTCGTCCTCAATCGATCCCGATTATCGCAATTCACCGTTTGACGACTTAGAGAACACATACAAAATACAATTTGGTAAAAATGATACAAAATGATAAAAAAGTATTAATAACACAATATCCATTAGTTTGCAGGTGACAATACGTTTAAAAGTAAAGTGTTTCTACAAAATTTGGTGTACATTATTTCGTCCAATAATAGAGAGACTACAATTTTTCATGAACTTCTTTATCGTTTTGGTCATGGTCTTGGTCATCAATCAGTCATGGATCCGCTGACACCTCCATAGTGCCTACAAAAAATGAAAAGATAGTTAGTCAATAATTAATAAATAATTTGAAATCATTATTTTATAATTCACATTACTATGAGTTGCGGAATTTAATAATTAAATACTTACGAAGTCGACCCCCCACCATCTCCTGAATATCTCTTCACACACGTGACCCTATTATGGTCGGTTTGTTTACATTTTCCACATCTAACCGTTCCTCGGGGACCTTCATCCATCTCATTCTTAATACATATGGACTTAGGTCTTCCCTTAGCCCGAAGCATGGATGGATCATGCATAATTTCAGGTCCATTGTAAGTCGGCCAATAATCACGGTCAGGAATGAGTTTAAAGACTCTTTGATATGTGGCGGCGTATTGGTCAGATGAGAAAAAAAGGATCCATAAATGGAGGAGAAGACAAACTACGTTGTCTGCACACGGCTAATACATGGGAGCATGGAATTTTATATATTTCCATGGCGTATTAGGCCAACATCCTCATAATAGTTCTCTCATCAATGACACACGATTGGGAAGTTGGAGAAATCCATATTCTAATAACAATACATGACGATAATGGATGAATACACATTAATATACATACTTTACAAGATTAAAATTCAACATTTCATACATATTCACATTTCACAACAAACCAATTCACAAATCAATTCCTACTTTACAAATTCGAAAATTATGAATTGAAACCCTAGGTTGAAAATGAGATGAAATTGGGGATTTGATTTACCTATAGGTTGAAGAAGATGATTGGGGAGTGTATTTGGTAGGTGGAATGGTCTCCTAGTAGCTGTAGTCGCCGGAAACCATTGCTGCTGTTGCTCTTCGCCGGACCAAATTTTCTTGTTGCTATCGTTCTATCTGGTTTTGCAAGGTCTGGCCGCAGTTTATTAAAGAGGAAAGTCGCCAAACGGTTTGGCGACTTATAAGTCACCATCCCGGTTGGTGACTTATAAGTCACCAAACCGTTAGGCGACTTACCCCGACCATGATTAAACCCAACAGTAGATCAGTAAATACGGTTAACCCAATATTATTTTCGTAATTAATTAATTAATTAGCATTAATCCGAAAAAAAAAAACTCTAAAATATTAATACTATACATAAATGAATGTGTATGTACTCATCCGCCCAAGTAGTACAAATTATATATAAAACATAGTAAATGTAATTTCAAAAACCTTTATGAAAACTTATCAAAAAAATAAACAGATAAAAGTTTAGTTATATATTTATATAACTAAAAATAAACAGATAAAAAACATGATACTTCTATTTTGGAATTTCAAAACGTGATATATATATATAGGAGCAAAAACGTTTTGAAATTGCTCTAAATAGGAGCAAAAACGTTTTGAAATTCCAAAATAGGAGTATCATGTTTTTTGTTCCCTGAATAGGAGTATTCTGCCAAGTTTGGAAAAAAAATGTCATGTTTTAAAGCCTAGTAATGTCAAACTTGGCAGAAATTTATTCCTATTCAAGGAATAAAAAACATGATACTCCTATTTTGGAATTTCAAAACTTTTTTACTCCTATTTAAGGAATTCTCTCCATATATATTTATTTTGTCTTCATTTTTTATTCAAATCATTAATGGTAATTTCAAGTCTTAACAACTAAGGATGTTTTTACCTGGATTGTAATTCCTCCCAGACCAGACCAGTTCAGACCAGACTTGAATAGTTATAAAAATACAAAGAAACCAGACCAGACCAACAAATTAGAGTCCAAATAAAAACATCCTAATCGTAAACAACTAATGATAGTAGCTATTTTAAACAACTAAAAAAATCTGTTGGCACTAATCTTCTAATACAAGTAGATATCAGCTAACAATCAACCACAAATTACCAAACACCCCATGTCCCCATATATCATACCAATGGTTATCCTACTGTACAAAATACACACACAAGTAATTTAAATTGTAAATTATCTAAGCTCTCGATAGTCGGTAGGTGCCACATAAATTTTGCATATTGTAGCTAATAAGAACCTGAAAAAACAAAAACTTATAACAGACAATTAAAAAGAGATCGATTAATATAATAAATAGAAAATATCTTAAACAGGAGTAAAACATAGTTAAAGAGCAAATAAATTACCATTATTTTATTTTTAAAATATCGCTCATTCACTTCAAATTAAAGAAAGTTATGCTTTTTATAAAATCAAATACTTGTATTTTAGGAATAAAACAGGAGTTTTATTTGTTCACTTTATCCATGTTTCGCTTCTATTTGGAGCAATTTGTTTATAATAAAGTAGCATTGTTAATAATAAAAATAAAAGTCTATAAAATGTATATGATCAAACCACGCCGTTTTAGTAACTGGTATTTCAAAATTGTAAACTGAACTTGTCTTATTAGAGATCTGTTCATAATTTATTTGATATGGATAAAGAAAATAAATTGGAATATACAACATTACAACTAAATATATCATCAATTTAATATGCTAATCAAGTTAATATCATCACCATTCAAAACACCTAAACAATTTGTTTCAATATGCAAATTGGAAAAAAATAATTATCCAAATTAGTTTAATTCAATCAAGTAGGACTATTTGAACAACTTTTTAAATTCTTTATAGCAGAAGATCTAGATTGGTTTTTACCACAATAAGTTCAGACAATTGTTTGGTCCAGAGAATGTCGGTAGATCATGGCCTCAAGCTCTCCACAGTGTACTAGGTAGAAGTAGAACAGGCTCCTACAATGTCGAGTCAACATTTTGGAATTACCAGGTCCAGGAACCTGCATAACTGTATGATGAGGATATCCATTGGATTACCATCTTCACAGAGTCTTTGGAATTGGAATAACGTCATAGTTATTCGGATAAACCAGAGTAGAGAACTCGATCAACCAAACAGTAAAGTTGTAGTTACTCTAACAAAAGAATAATAATAAGATTATCCAATGAATAAATCACGAGAAAAATATAAACCTGTGCACAACAAGGTATAATTTTCGTCATTTGTCAAAATAGCTTATATCTTAAAAGGTTTTATTTAATAACATACAACAACAACATCCAAGCCTTAGTCCCAAAAGAATTTAATAACATACATAAATGGGCAAAAATTACTTCAAAAAGTAAACAACTTTGATCAATTTCAAAAGGTAGCTAAACAACGTATGCAACATTGTCTACAAAAGTAAGATCAAGTTCCACCCACATGGAAACTGGATTCAACCATCCAAAACCATTCTCAGGAGCAAACATCCTTTCCTCCTAACCACCAAAGGATAGATGTGTTTAAAAATAGAACAGGATATAGTTCATTCTTGAGTAGCAGCGCCTTGGTTGAGCTCAGCAAATCTGAGGCCAACACGCATCGAATGCTTCAAGAACTTCTCTGCACATCGCCGCACACATGTCTCCTCTTGTTTGTCCAAGGTTTTCCGACGGAATGTTTCGACACAATCTGTAAAGCATCTTTCCACCAGGTTGTTGTACATCCTTAAGCTGCAGTTTCAAGAATATGTTCACATGTCTGCCTCAAATGTTACTTGAATTTTTTATTCTAAATAATATTACTTTCAAGTTTCAACTGAAGACATGAGATTATATTTGAATATATCAAAAATTTAGAAAGGCAATTCACTCCAAGTATACCAAAGCCATCGTTTAATACTCTGTATATATTAGTGCGAGCTGCGTTGAAATGTTTTTCTTGCTATAGTCACACTTCTTACCAAACACACTTATCTGATTACATGAGCTGAACCAGTTATATGAAGACTATTAAAAACAGTGCATATAATAATCTGTGGCCTAGAGTTCATAAAAAGAAAGAAAATGACACTTTTATCCTCGTTTTTGGATATACTCCATAATTTTCTTTAAAGAAAAAAATTCACTAATACTACTCCTGAAAAGGTAGTGAACGAAAATATTACCAAACATTTCTTATATTTTATCTCAATAAATATCCATATATCGTATGACATATATATCCTTAATAATTTAGTATGGATTAACCATTGGAGAACCTCCTTCCCCGCCAAAAGATCCTCTGCGATCTCCTCCCCAAAAAATTCTCTAAAAGCTTATTATTCATTCAATATATGTCTTGCCTTCAACCTCTCGCCCAATACTCTTCCTTTTAAATTTATTTAAAGAACCGTAGTAGTATCACTGGATATATGTGTTGCGAAGGACGACAAGAGAAGCACAAAGCACACACCATCCCATGACCAGTTGAATCCGGAACAACACCAGATTTAATTCCACCAACCACTGCAACCTTACCATTTTCAATTACACATAAGTTTACCTTCAATCTTTCTTAAGTAACTAGTCTATGGGATTTTAAACTCATCAAACCGACTGACACCAAAATGAAAATTAACCTCACGGTTACACATAACTTACCATTCCATATATTTTACGTAACTAATATTCTATACTTTGAACCAACTCATTAAAAAAGTTATGCTTGCCGGTATTGTAATAGCTACCATCCCCATAAATTACCATACACCAAGTTGTTGTAAAATCACCCATTAGTTACCTCTTACCCCACACACACTTGTAGTAACTATACCAATTATTCACCACACACAGCTGTAATAACTATACTGATTAGTTACCCGTTTCTGAAATGCTAACTCTTACTAGTTTAATTAGTTACTACAGATATTAGACTATATTTCTCACAAATCCTCAATGACTAGTTACTTGATAGTAACTATACAATTAGTTGCCCGTTACTGAAATCCCCACTATTACTAGTCCCATTAGTTACTACAGGTATTGCACTATACTTCTCACGAATCATCAGTGACTAGTTTACTACAACAATCACGCTCAAGCATATCCAAGAACATCAATCATACAAAATAGTCATTCAAGAGCATGAATCAAACTAAGCCCAATTTCAGCCACTCATCTTTGTTTTATGCGTATTTACCGTTCATGGGCAACTCTGTAAACTTTGTTTATGTTGATACGGTTATATCATTTCTTTTTTCCCTTATTTAACCGGAAGTCAGTTTTTTGTCGACATAATTACTAGAGGTAGTAATGTATACGTCAAAACCTCTTCTTTAAAAGTACTTAAGTACCTCTTTGGGCCTTTTCCTCTCTTTTTTGTTGTTGAAATTCTTATTTTTTTCCTCAGATCCTTTTTTAAGTTGGGAGGCACTATGTAAACTGGGCGAACTCTGAACTGGAGTGCCGAAGAGGATGAACTGGAACAAAAAATTGAAAATAGAATACAAAAGTTGCCTATGAGGTTTGAACCGTGTACCTGCAGCAAGGGTAGAACCGAAGAATTTTAAACTCGCGTGGACAACCAGTGCACTAATCCGTTCGTTTGGTGTCATTCTAGCCTTTTGTATATATACACATTAATGGATCAGTTTTATATAAAATAAAATGTACTACGTATATAATATATATAGGTTTTTTTTTTGAAGTCTGTGGGGTCCCGGGACCCGTAGGACACACTGTGGGTCTGCCACTGTATACTCCGTACATCACATTTTTCAAACTTAACAAAAGACCATCTTTCTTTCTCTTATTAATTATCACTTTCTGTAACTATAAAATCCCAACTAATGAGAACAAAAAATCATTATGGTCATGAACAGTGAGCATGATGAGTTAAAATGCTACTATGTCATGACTCATGAAGCTAAAAGCTATCAAACACATAAAGAGAGAGGAGTGGGACCTGTCACGGATTTGGAGTTGATCGATCATGACAGACATACGAGTCTTATCTTCCTCGGAAAGATTGTCCATGTCACTTAGCATGCCCTTGTCCATCTTGTTTGATAGCTCCACCGATTCAATACTGTCATTTTAGGAGGAAAAAAAGAGTTCAGTGAAAGACAAAAGGTTGAATTGCTTTCTTGTACTGATGATGTTTCTAAAACCATAGATATCTTGCAGAACAACTGAACAAGCCCCATTCTCTCGGACTTTTACACATATTTTGATATTACATCCTCAGCCTACTCAATTAATTTTATTTCCTTTCTTCAAATCATGAATAAAAAAAGAACAACATGAAACTAGGCGGCAAGCTCAACAAATTAGCAACCTCTCGAAACTGAGGAATGCTTAGAGACACAGCTTCTTTGGGTTAATAGAGCATCTGAACGGTACTAGGGTAATGTTTCAGATTTGGAGTTTTGACAATTCAATATTTCATCGATGATAAAATCATCATCTCGTATATCCAGCACAGAACGACTAAAGTAAAGAATAAATCATCTGAAACTTAAAGCCTACATCCAGTTTTGCAAAAATGTGAAGATGAGGGGGAAGACAAGAGCATCGCAATAACTTTGGAGTTTCTTTCTTGTGGAGAAGAGACGCCAGATATGGAAGGCTATATGAGGGATGAAACCTAGAAAGTATGGAGCAGTGCATATAGGAAAGAGAGAGTCATGAGAAACTCATAAATATTTCAAAATTGAAAAAATATGTAGACAAGATTTTCATATTAACAAATTACTTGATTCAATTAAAAGCAAGGCATCATTAAAATTTTCATAGCAGCATCTTAACAACAATTCGTATTCATGAACAAAGTACAACTGTGGTGATGACATTGAATGACTTATGCAATTTTTTTATACATCATATCATAAAGGAGAAAAAATCAATGTCGGTCAAACAAGTAAAATAATCCAACAGAATTACAATGCATAATAAGCACAATGACACATTAATACTAATAAACTAAAACATGAAAATATAAAATCATGTAAAAAGGGATTTAAACTAGACTTAAAACTGAAAAACTAAAAACAAAAACACTAGCAATGGGATATCATGGGCGAAGTTGGATGGGAGGTAGCACTGGAATAACTTTATATCTTAACAAACACCAGAGTGGGACTTAAAGTGAACCTGTGAAGGAGAATGATAATGTTCTGATCAAATGGACCAATGGATAGAAATCTGATCTGCAAAAAAATGACCTTCTATGAGGAAAATGAACCCAACATCTCCAACTATGCAACATAAGCACCATAGTTATATATGAGAATGAGATTGAAAAGAAGTTCTTAGAAAATAGCCTATTGGATGAAAATTCTGAATTCCTAACCTTAATTACTTGTTTAAATTCTGAATTTGATCAACTATATGTCTATATCTTTATGTTTGAATGAAAATTCTGAATTCCCATAAGTTTGAATGATAAATTCTATAAAATATGTTTAAGCTAAGGCTTCAAACAAAATCTGCAATTTTTATTAAGTAGGCAAATGTTAAATTATTAGCTAAGGCTCCGTATGATCACTTCATGTATGCTCATACAGAGTATATATGATTAAATTATCTAAAGGTGTTATCTATTTGGAAGCCAAACCTCTTCAAACGTTGGTTATTTAGGAGTTGGCTATTCAGTTTTATATTAACAAAACTATGCTTTAGCAAAAATTCAGAAAAGAGTAAACCAGATTCAACAGTTTTACAACACTGCATTAGCTATCTGAAAAGGGTAGTTTGGGGTGGGAAACTGCTCTCTGGTTCCTTACTTTTGGAAGAGGGACAAAAGATCGATGTATTTACCTCAAGCACATCATAGGACCTCACCAAGTAGAAATTATTCAATCAACAACTCTAAAAATTGAGATAAAGGAGGACAGGGGGTCAAAAATCATCTTTGCAAACAGATAAGTGTGTTTTAACAAAAAAAATCAGAGATTAAATCACAACAATCTAGTGAAATTAACCAAATACTCGGTATGACATAAAGTTTTCGTTGAAGAAGAACGAAATTGAACCTGCGAGCAAGTTCTTCCGTTAGAATGCTGAGAATCTGAATTAGATTCGTCGCAGGTAGGTTTCTTCCGAAGAGTCTTAACAATGCGGCCAAGTGACGCCGGTTTCTTTTTGCGGCTTTCTTTTGAGGAGCGGCCAACTGACTTAGTGCTGAGGCTGAGCCTTCGTCCGTCCAAAAATGATTTGGACGCTGAGCCTTCGTCCGTGGATGAGCAGCAGGAGAGGGATGAAGGTGTGTGCCAAAGGTATAAAATTGAAAGTGCGGCTAAGCATACTATACTTCTTCTTTATACTTCTACTTCAAAGGTGTGTGCCAAAGGTATACGTAGTACGGAGTATTAATTAAACTACGTTTAAACTTTTTCATTTTCAAAATTTATCTTTAGCCTTACCTTTTTACTCTATTGTTACCCCTATGTCCCTAACCCTTACCCTACCTTATCATCCTGGCCCCAACCCCACCCCGCGTACCCCCACCGATACCACTTACCCTACCACATGCCCCTACGTAGACCTCACCCCAACCCCGACCCCACCGGCCCCCTTACCCTTACCTCTACCTTACCCCACACCCCACGTACCCCGACCCCGACCCCTTTACCCCTTACCACCTACCCCTACCTCGAACCCATCTCGACCCCACCTCTTACCCCCTACCCTACCCTACCCCCCCCCCCCGACCATAACCCCACCCCACCGGCGTAAGGGGCACAACACCGAGGAGTGCAAGGGCCTTAAGATAGCCATCGGTGATCTAATCTAGAAAGGGCACTCCGGTGAGTATATCAGGGAGCCCACGCTGCAATACCAGGCGCGCCCGAACAGGAAACTCGACACCTGACGTAGGGATGACAAACGGGAGGTCGAGCCCAGAGGCGTGGATTAACGCAGGGCGGATAAGTGTCTCGAGGGTTCTTTGGGCCCCCGGCAAAGAAAAAATAAAGATCAAGGTGATCTTTGTTGGGGCGGAGACTGGTGACTCCCCCGACGACATGATGAAATTTGAACGGGCCTTATACGTGGCTTCTGTGTCCGCTCATCCCCCAATAAGAACAAGATCGATCCCATCACCTTCGGGCCATCGGATCTGCCTAACACCCCAGGACCGCACCATGATGAGCTAGTCATCATCACGGACATCAAGAATGCCATCATAAGACGGATCCTAGTGGACACAGGCAGTAGTGTCAACGTACTTTATTGGGACGTCTGCGAGAAGATGGGACTGAGCATAAGCGAGCTGGTTCCCCTACGGACCTCATCAGATGTGTGGCCCCACATAGGCTCTACACGACTAATGGCGATTAGTAATACCTTAAACCTCTCATAAAGGGGTATTTATAGCGGAAGCCACCGACTGAAGTCCCATTTAATAAGGGACACATGTCGAGGAGCGTAACCCAGAACACATGTCATGTGGAGGTTAATAGTCAGATAATCATTACGGTTACCTGGGAAATTGAACCGGCCGCCGAAAAACTGTCACCTTGAATCTCGGGAACCGCCACAACAACGGTCGCATCAGGAACCTCGAACCGAGCCACTCAGGTTTAATCTTTCTACTTCCTCATGTTCCATGCATGCTTGGAACATCATAAGTGGGGGACTTGTGTTGGGGTAATGATAGCCGTTATATTTACTTGTGTTTAACATAAGTATTTATAAGTATTTGTTGAAGAAAAGAAGAGAAATTGGGAAAATATCTTGAGAATGAGAGTTAGAGCATAAAACATTGTGATGAACGGTTTTTGGGACCAAAAGGATGACGTTTTGCCCATCATTTGAGTATAATGTATTATAGAGAACTCGAAATCACTCCATTCGAATTTCATGTGAATGGTAACTCAATAAGGTACAAATGTTATGAAGACATCATGGCCAGAATAGGAAAGGAACAATACTCAATCAACCGATAAAGTCAGATGTTGCATGTGGGATTTCAGGATGCATACCTCTCAGTGTTTTATCCATATATGTTTATTGGATGAATAAAATCACGTCATTTAAGTTTTGTTGGATAGAAGACTTCATTATCTACAACTTTGGTGAAGGAATCATGTCCAAATTCGTAGCGGAACATCTCCAAAATCCTGGTACAAAAACCGACACTTTTTGATCCATTTCGGAGGAAGAGAAATGAAGTACATTTTTGGGCGCAGCAACCGGCGCCGGTCGGTCTTGAACCGGCGCCGGTCGGTCTTGAACCGGCGCCGGCCGGAATGTTTTTTCTCGCAAAAATGAGCCTGTTTTCAACCGGGGCTGGTCATCTGACCAACCGGCGCCGGTTGGGTCGATTTTCTGCTAAAAAATAGCATCGTGCAAGCTGATTCTTGATGGGAAAACCTTATCTTCCTCAATGCTAATCAAATATTGCTTCCATACCTCATTGTTGGGTTCGAATAGACTAAAAGATGTCATTTTTTAGCCTATATAAAGCCCTCAATTCATCATACAAACATATTCCATTCCATAGATTAATTCATAGCTTTTATATAGCCTAGGTAATTTTTCTCGTATGTTATTGTATTTATTTGTTCTTAGTTACACTTTTGTAATTAATATGAGCATTAGAGGCTACATTCTTAGCTAAGGCTAGGGATGAACTTCTATGCCCACTAGGTGTTTGATAAAAGTTCTAAACCAATAAATTGTGATTTATCCTTTATATATTGATTGTTTATGACTATGGTGTACAACATAGAAGTATGTTAAATTTAGTTTATACGTGCAATTAACGTTGAAGTCTAAACTATGAACATTAAAGGATAAACATATATAGTACCAAGAATAGAAATATATCCGGTCTTATATGATACGGGTGTGATGTCTTGATATTCAACGGGGTTTTCGGTAGATTAATGTAAGCCGTAACGGGACTTACACGTAACGAAAATCACGCTCTCACTGCCTTAACTGGAGTTGAGAATATATTAGCGACATCATATTCATAATTATTGGCAAAGAACTAATATTCAACCCTATTTAAACATTTAAGTGATTCCCGAAGCCTTAGTTGTTGTTATCATTTATCTTGAACTCAAAGTTAGTTAACGATTATCTTGTTGAACAAAAAGTGAAAAAACCAAAAATATAAAACACAAATCAAAATCCCTACACTTTATTCAATTCTTCATTTAAAGTTATCTACTCTCGGACTTGAATTAAACAACGTTTCCTTGTGGATTCGACCCGGTATTTTACCGGAATTTATTACTATATCGGCACTTGTACACTTGCAAGTTTAGCCCGGTCAGGTAATTGGCCCAAAAAGGGTCGGCACAATACCTCGTGAAGAATTGGTAGCAGATCCGCTAAGGCCCACAGCCTGCTCTACTAAACCCGTGCAACATGCCCCGCACGACCTCGGTCCTTTGTCTTATTTTTTCAGTAGTGAGGGAGGCCACGACCTCGGTCCCTTGTATTTCAGTAGTGAGAAATACATAAATGCATTAGATACACAAGATTTGGTGGTTGGGGGATTAACCATTCGTAATCATCCACATCACCACCACCACCTATCCCATGATAGTATAAATAGAAGCATTTATTTCATGATTAGGGATTGGCAACATGCACTCTCTAGTTTTAGCTTTCTATTCTCTTGCATCTTAGCTTCGAATAGACTCTCAGTCCTCGGCCCAATAGCGTGTGCTGTAATTGTTCCAAGACTCTTAATAGAACTTCGCCCACTTTACTTTACTTGTGCCCTTATACTTACATAATCCACTAAAACATGCATTGAAAGTTCAACAGAAACTGTTGGGCCCTTGGACTTGGAAAAAAATCTCAATAGGTATCATGTCTAGTACAAATACACTTATTTACTACGTACCATTACTCTTATTTAAATACACTATTTTGTCTTGTGTATTTAAGTTTGATGTAATGCGTTGAAGTATGAGTATTACGTATTTGATATCTATTTGATTATCGTCCAAATTCGGTCTAATCTATATAAACTTTATACCATCCCACGACTAAACTATTCTTGAAGTACTACAACCAATTGAAATGGTTTAATATCAATAAATAAATTTTTATTTGGAAAAGAAATGTACGAACTTTAACTAGTCACCCATCGAGTAATTAGATGGACTGATAAAGTAAGTAATGAAGCAGATATATGGTAAACTGTGTGAACAACTCCCAGGACTCCGAGAGGAAGGTGGGAAAGATGGAAGAAATAGAATGACCAATTACAAATGGAGGGTTCCTGTGAGATAGGGCTTCCAGGAGAGAAAAAAATAATGAAATCTAACCTTTTATTATTCTAATCCATTGGCCAAGATTTTTTTGAAACCAAGCTATTTGTCCACGATTTTCGTAGGGGATTGGTTTATTAAAAGGAAACATGCTACTAAATATTAATTGAGGGACACAATGGTAAAACTCACTTAAGAGTGGTTCACACGCACTGAGCAACAAAATAGGAAGCAATCCTAACAAATAGGATAATAATAAATTCGGAGTACTCTCTTTAATAATTAGAATCATTTATTTTATTGATTTATTTTAATAACTTTTTCTCTTATTTAATTTTCTTTCCAAATACTATCGTATAAGGTTCTCTCACTTATGTTCTTTTACTCTTTAAATGCAAGGTTTGTCCATTTGCACTTCAATGCTAAATTCATGCACTATTATTCAACGTTAGATGTAAATATTCATTTAAATATTCACATGTATTTGGTTTGAAGGTGGATTTGTTATAATTAAAATGCAAATTTTATAAAAGCATAAACATTGATATATGCAATAATTGTAGTTTAAAAGTGCATTTTATTATAATAGAAAAAATATGATGTTGAGCTGTTATAAATATACTTATACGTTTATTGTGCACTAAAATGAATTCAAATTGCACTTTATAGAGCTATTTAAGTATGTGTTGTTCTCACTACATCAAACTTCTTTTTTGAATTCAACACTTTTTTGTTAAAATGCTTACTTCCAATATAGAAACTGCACAATATAATTGATCTATTTGAAGCTCATGATCTATAGTAAATAAAAGATTCAAAGGTATAAGAACTTTATATACATTTAATCTCTACTGAAAATGCACTTTAACATTGAATAACCGCACTTTTATTCAAAATTTTATGCAACATAAATATAATTAAATATTTATTTTCTTGTATAGTAATTTAAATAATCAATAGCATTCATCAAAAAAACAAATCTAAAGAGAAATACAGTTTTTATTATACTAATCTGCACTTTTGCAAACTGCACGTTTATATATTAGTTTTCACTTACTATATAATTT